CATCTTGTTATAAACGAAACTATACAGAATATATAGAATAGAATAGAGAGATAAATAGATAGATAGATAGATAGATAGATAGATAGATAGATAGGTAGATAGATAGATACGTAGATAGATGGAAGATGGATAGATATATGTATAAAAGAATCGAATGGTAAATAGGGATAACCTAAAACCAAGATATGGTGAAAAAATCTAGCTAATCGGTCTAGTATATCTTTTAGTACGCCAAATACTATAACCCTCTTCCCTTCTTTAGTTTCTTACGATTTTAACAACTGCCTGAAAGTATGTTAATCAAAGTTAAAATTTAACATGCTTATCTCCTATTCTGGTTTATGTCTAAATACAACCACAAAAACCACTCAAAATAAAAGGAACACCGATTATTCAATCATTTTTCATTCTGGAATTTTTATTCCAGCAATTACACATTGAATGGACTCAGGCTCTGATTTGCTTAAACTTTCGTTGTCAGCAGCAATTAAAACAACACCGCCTACATCACGTTTTTCCAACTCCTGTGCACTAAAAAATTCATTGAAAACACTGGGAGTTTTCCACAGCGGGAAACAAAAACGAAGAAAGCGAAAAACGAAAACAGTTTCGAGGCAGGACTGGTTGGCCAGACCGCAAATGGAATTTTTTTACAAGTCCAGCGCTGGGATTGGAATTGGGACTGGACTGCGATTCGTACTGGGACTGCAGGAAATGAAGTGAAAAAGTAAAAATACATAACATGCGGCCAGAAAAGTCCTGCAAGTCAGTCAGTTTCAGAGCCCCGTCCTTATCCGTGTGCCCATACGTGTCCCGGCTTGAATTCGCTCTCATTCGTTCATTGTTGGCATGCCGAAATTTTAATAGCACACCAAATAAATAAACACAGCCTCGCACTGCCAGTGGAAATTGTTGCAACTGCAAAGGCAGCAAGGAAACACAAACTAAATGCAGTCATGTGCTTCCGGTAATGAAAACTTTAGAACTTTTCTCTATGTTTTTGTTGGACCTGCCAAAGGGTAACAAAAGAGTACAAAATTTAAGGGCATCGAAGAAATTATATCCTTTTAATTGGGACAATAAGGGATTAGCTATTAATAAGTAAGCTTAAATTGTTAAACATCTAAAGTACATTTCATTTATTTCCAAATAACCTTTATATAGCCTCATTAAGCCATATATAATCGATCTAAGTTTTCAAAACGCATATGTAATACAAAGAAGTGATCGCAACAAAATCATTGTAATAAAGTAATTTAATTCGTTATCTCTAAAGTCATTTAAATTAAATACTTTATGCTAAATAAAGTGAAGTAGTCCTTAAAGGGCCCACAACAGATCTTTTTATATTATTTCTATTACCATCAAAGCTTGACAAACAATGACATATAAAATATACCCGTTTAAAACTCAATGATTGACTTAAGGAAACTATGAAAAAGCTAACGAAATTCGTCTTCTGTTTCCTTGCATTTTCCTTCCAAGTAAATGAGAAAAAATTCTTTTAAACGTGAAACGGCAGGCATTCAGCTAATAAACCTTTCAGTGAGCTAAGCTACACTTTTTCCACTCCGTGTTATGACTTTTCCAACGGTCAGAATTACAATTACAATGAACCAAGGGTTACGTTGAGGAAACAGTGAGGTGGCAGAGGAAGGGATATGCATTCCGGATGAGTTTTGTGAGGGAGTTTTGCCAAAAAAGAAAAGAAAGACTTATTCGTGTTCAGAGGACAATGCGCTTATTGAAATATTTATAGAAAAGAGTAAGCGTGCCGGGGTCTTTGAAATGATTTGATTTCCAGGAAAATTAATGTAAAGTTTGAATAGTCGCTTGGCCACTGAAAATGTAACAATGGCTAAGTCTGAAAATAAATCTCTCGTTTTTATCTAAAAATCTGTTGAGTAGATGGTTAGTTATTTCAACCAACCATTCGGACCAACAATTTCTTTACTAACAATTTTCTCTTCAAATTTGACTTGACTGCCTAATTTAACCTTGAAATAAACCTCACTGACCCAAAGAGCATTTTGTGTTATTCATCTTTTGGCTAGATTATCCCTAGCTTAAATATTAAATTTGCTTTGCCAAGCAACTTGAGCCGCATCTCATCCGGAGACTTCATTTGACATAAGTATCATTCATGTAAGTAAATAATTTGGCACTTTTATGTTCATTACTCGAGAAACATTTTAAGGAAACGAAAAAAGAAATCACAGAAAGCCAAGAGCTAGCAAAAATGGAAACCAATTTATTCTGCGGAACTAAATTGAAATAATTTTGGCAGCTGAAATATGTACGAAAATATTTTAATACCACAGAAATACACACATACACTCAGAGCGTTTCAGAGTCCTTGCAATAGAGCCGGGAATCCCATACTTGCCTGCGAATAAAAACAAGTTGGTAAGTGTGCAGATATCCCTGCTCCTGCTCTTTGTCCTGCTCCTGCTCCTGCTCCCAACCATCTGCAATGCTTCTGGCAAATGTGTTGGCCGTCCTTTCTGCCTCGTCCTGCGTGCCTTGGCTGGCATTGGGCCAAGGCTTGGTCATTTCTTCTTCCTTTTTATTGCATTGCCCAAAAAAAAGGAAAATGCAGCTAAAGCGTCGGAAAGGCAAACAAACAAGCGGCAGACAAGGAGTACATATTAAATTTGTCATTTTAGCGCAAGGACCGACTTTTTTATCTACAAAGACCTACAAGTCAAAGTTCGTCCGTCTCATGGAATTGTTGTTCTAGTGCAAATTTAAAACCACATTTCGGCTGGGAAATCAATTTAAATTGCTTTTAAGAAAGTTGAAGAAAGCATTTGAGAAAAGCAGAGGAAACTTTAATCGTTGCACTTCTTATATGTTCTAAAGCTGTACTGTTAGAAAGAGAATTATTTGATTTTCGGTCATACAAATTATTTGTAAGAACCCACACTTTAAAGCTTAAGAACAATCAAAGACTTAATATGTTATCTACTATAATTGTTAGTGTATGGTACTTAGAGGTACTTAAAGATACATTTTATGATACGTAATAGTTCTAAACAGCTGTTTGGCAACTCAAATATAATTATAGAATAATTTCTCCATAACTATGTATTGTATTTCTTAGTAATAGTGGGACTGCTTGTTTTGGGTAATTCTTTACCTAACTTTAAATAAACGAACTTAAAAACTTTATAAGACTATCGAGATTTCATTTTTTGCCTTACAATTCAATTCTCTCAATTATCCCATTACCACTTCATTTAAGCCCAATCGATTTACTCACTATCCCGGTGGACCAGGTCAGCCGCAAATCAAATATGTGATGGCATTGTTTCGGAAGTGCACTCTCGCACAGGTGTTAAGCTTCTTACATCCGCCAGCCCAGGACCTTTAAACATATCAAAATCAATTTGCGATCCGACTAAGAGAACTGCAACGGCAACCACCTCCGAATTGATAAGTAAATGCGGCAACAATTGCGGATGGGAGCAAATTGTATGGTCATAATGGTGTTACATGGTTTAATTGTGTACTTGCAATTGCGGCTATTGTGTTCTGGTTATCTCTCTCTATTTCGGACTCCTTCCTTCCACATGCCAGGCGAGTTCCCTCGACATGTCGAGTCCTGCAAACAGGATAATGCAAAGGTTAAAATGCAGGCGAAAACCAAATACATAAATAAAGCAAACTGGGCGTTGCCCAAGCAAAGATATTTCAATTGTGTGAATTGCACATTTCAATTAAAATATTCATAGTTGCAGCCAACCGAAATAATATCAATATAAAATGCAAATACACAACAAGAATATCACATTTCAATATCACTTTTTGTCCTTAATAAATTGTTTAATTATATGAATTATAATATATTACATGTTGGAATATACCAACTCGGTCTAAAAATAATATACTTAAACAGTTCAGACATTAATTGAGTTTAATTAAATTTGAAAATATTTTTTTCCGTGCTTTTTGTTGCACAGGATTTTGCGCCATTTCCATTCCAGCTGTGCTTGCATTCATTAGTAATATTTACATTTCTCTTATAGATTTAGCATATTATGCGTTGCTATGAATTCACAAGTAAGAGTGTCACTGCAGTAAAATCTGACATCCGACAAGTGCAGGTTGGTTTAACTATAAAAATAAATGAAGTACAAATTAATACTGGGAATATATTTTATACATGTTTTAGCTGTTTTAATTCTGCCTTTGTTATTTGTTAAATATCTTAATTAAGACTGCAAAGCTTTGCTGAACATTTCAACCGAATATTCCAAGTTTAAATAATAATAAAAAAGTTTTGCGCGAAAGAAAAAAGCTAATATAGTGGTTTAACTCTGACACGGATTCTTTAATAACAAGATGCATAACGACAATAGACTTTAAATAACCAAGAAACTTTTCGGTTAATAAAGAAAACTTTCTTCTCTGCACTTGAAAACTTTGAAAATATACAAATTGTATATCCTTTGAGGATATACAAATCAGACAAGTGCGTATCTGTGCGTACAGATCTAGAATTTCACTTAATATCTTCCTGAATTTTTAACTTTAACTCAAGAAATTCTACAGAAAGCTACAAAAAATAGCATGGCGTAACTGATCTTGCTGTTAAAAGGTCTTTGCTCCGGTTTGGGAGCGAAAACATTATAAACTTGCAACTTAGCTATAAGCTACCAAGTAGTAACAGCTTAGATTATCTAAATAAAATAATAATAAAGAATAAAATAAAAATAATACAAATCTCAATATAGATTTAGTCGCAGTCCAAAGTGTTTTCCCAATGTTTTTACCGATGCATTTTGCGAGTTCGGGAAACAGTAGTCGAGCTTTTTCTTTGCCGTGGACTAAAAGGTGAGCAAATATTGTCGGTGGATAAACGGCGACCAGTTGATCAAGAGATTACCTATCTTGACGGGCTGTCGGCTGGAACTACAAGCTGCTGCAATAAGATAAGGGCTTTTGGTTACAGAAACCCCAGATCTGTTGGGTTAGTCTACGCCTTAGTGTTCCGCGCGATGTATCGGCTGCTAGTTAGTCTCCTGCTGCTGTTCAGGGTCGAGTGCCTGGAGTTGAGCTACTGCAACCACACCGAGGTGACCCTGCTCCGGGACACGGAGCTCTTGACCACACTTTCGCTGAGGAACTGCACCCTCTCGCACCTGGAGAATGCCTTCTTTGTGCGTTTCGGTCATCTTCTTAAGCTGGAGTTGCAGTATAGCGGACTGAGTGATCTGGGAGACTTTTCTTTGAATGGACTGGCCAGATTGCAGTCCCTCTCTCTGAGCCACAACAATCTGAGCGCCCTAAGGTCCTGGTCTAGTGAACCCTTGGGGGCTCTTACCTCTCTGGATCTGAGTTACAATGCTTTCAGGCGACTAAGGTCCCAAAGTTTCGAGCTATTTCCCCAACTGCAGCTCCTTGACCTGGGCTCCAATGAGATCTCTCAGATAGATGAGGAGACCTTTCAAGGTTTATCCCACTTGAAGCATCTGCACTTGAATGGAAATCTACTGCAGACCATCGACAGCAGCTTCTTTTTGGGTCTACACCGCCTTGCAAGTCTGTCCCTTCAGCGTAATCTAATAGAGAGCATAGAAATGGACGCATTCGAGACCAATACACACCTGCGAAGCCTTCGTCTGGATGAAAATCTTCTCACAAGCCTTCTATTTCTCAGCCAGCGAGGTCTGGCACGTCTCGTTCACCTGAATCTGTCGAATAACCAAGTGAAGAGCTTGGAACCACAGGGATTTTCAAAGAACTTTGAACTCCAGAGCCTGGACTTGAGCTACAATCAATTGATAAATCTTACAAAGGAAGCCTTATCGGGCCTGGACTCATTGGAGGTGAGATTCGCCAATTACAAATACTTTACTTAACTGATATAATATAATAATATATATATACTTGATATAATTTATATATATATATATATATAAAATAAATGATATAATTTATATCTTTTCCTATTTAACTAAACTTTCTTTTTCGTATGTTACTATGTTCGTAACAGCGTCTCAACATCAGCCACAATTCTATAGAAGTTGTGGATACAGACAGTCTGGAGGCGCTCGTCAGTCTTCTGCAAATAGACGTGAGCTTTAATCAACTGACATCGCTCCCAGAGACATTGTTCAATGCCAACACTCAGCTGGAGGAGATTATGTTTGGTCACAACCTAATCGGACATCTGTCGTCACTCGTCTTAGCCCGGCAAAGTCACTTGCGGTACATTCAGTTTACCGGAAATGCACTTTCTGATGCAGTCTTCCTGCAACGGCTGCCTGCATCCTTGAACCGCCTCTCTCTCTATGTGGATCTTAGTTCAAATCGCCTGAGATCGATTGATCTGAACAGTTCGCATCAGCTGAAATATTTGAATTTGGCGGACAATAGCTTCAATTGTGCCTGGTTGATCGAAAACTTGGTGAGAGAGCTGCCCAGCTCCGTGAACTTTGCTCGTCCTTGGTCCGTGCTGAATGGTTGGAGGGATGACTTTAACAACATCAACGGAGTGGACTGCGCTGAAGGAGAAACCAATCGTTCGATTATATTACTGAATGCCTCTGAGGTTTCTCTGTACAAGACCAGCAAATGTGAATGCGAAGTAAGTATCGCCAAAAAGCTTAGAAATTATAGGTAATTCATAGGATTTCGGTTGTAGCAAACTTATGACGAGACGAATCCTTCGCCGCCTCCTCTTACCTGGCCAAAGATACCCACGGATCGATTTGATTCACGATCGGTGATCATTTGGATGCTGGTGGCCATTGCCTTGGCTTTTGCAGGACTTCGTTGGTTGCGACGTTTTGTCGATCGAAATGAAAGCAGGAAAGGAGGGATGAAGGCGCTGAATAATATGGTTTTTAAGGATTTAAATATTTGTGCACTTTTCAGGTCAAGTCCTGACACCTTTCTTTGGTAGTCAAAATGTACTTCAGTGAGACAAAACTAAGACACTTGATATGTCATTGAGTTTACAGAGCTGTTCGAAACCGAAAAATAAAAATATAATACTTTTACTATATACAAAATAATATAACTAACTAATTATCTTCAATATTTATAAATATTCAATCAAATATACTAAAAGATTTTACACACAAACAGATTATAAATGCTTTTAAAGTGTATAGTAAAGTATATAGTAAAATCTCCAACGATATTATGAAGTTAATATTTAAACAAATATTTTTAGATTAAGAATTAAAACTACTAAAACAAATTACACAGTAAACAAAATATATAAATATTTTATATAATTACATAGCTTGACTTAATTCGTTATCAAGAAGTGAATTGTTTATTTCAGTACATCTACAAAGTTGAATGGCAGCCCATAAAAAACTCATCAAAATGCGACAATATATCAATATATATTTTATGAATATATTTATATTATATTTTGGTGATTAATTATAAAAAATAAAAAGTCTAAAGAGTAAAAAACTCGGAATACAAGCCAAAACGAACAGTTTACATATGAGATTGTTACCTGTAAAGCCGTTCTATGACTTTGGCATATTTGGTATGAACAATATTTCTCCTGATCTTGAGCGTCGGACCCAGTTCGCCGGTGGCCAGGGAGAATTCGTGGGGAATCAGGGCGAACTTCTGCACTCGTTGTGCATTGGAGATGGCATGTTTGTTAGCTCTCTTAATACCTTCCTCGAGAGCTTCTAGGAGTTTGGGTTCGGCGGTGATGTCCAAGGCAGCCGATACAACTGCAGCATCGTTGTTGAGCTGCAAGTCAGCCGGAATATTGAGAAGACTGGAGAGACGGGTCTCGTGAATGTCCAGATCTCGAAGCCACTCTACCGTTTCTTCACGCAGTGCATCCAGAGGAGTTCCCGTCTTGGCATCAGACTTTGTCTTCAAGGATAACAACACTGTCAGATACTTGCGATGGTCACCGATCAGAAGGACATTGCTCACGCAGGGCAGCTCCTTCTTTATCAACTCCTCGATGTGCACCGGAGGGATATTTTCCCCTCCTGCGGTAATGATGAGCTCCTTGAGTCTACCAGAGATTACGAGATTTCCTTTGGGATCCATGTACCCCAAGTCACCAGAATGCAACCAACCATCCTCCTTGATTGCTTCTTCGGTCTTCTCCTGCAGTCCTAGGTAACCCATAAATATACTACGACCTCGCATCAAAATCTCCCCTTGGCCATTGCTATCCGGTTCATGGATCATCACTCCCATTCCCCTGACGGGAGGACCCGCACTGTATAAATTAGTTATTCGATTACTGACATTCAAAGTGATAATACCGCCGCTCTCCGACATCCCATAGCACTCGCCCAGAGGCATATCCAGGCCCAGAAAGAACTGCTTCATCTCGGCAGAGATGGGAGCTCCGCCTGTCAGGAAAAAGCGACTCTTGTCCAAGCCAATTATCTCTCGAATGCGTTTTACCAGTCGAGACGCCAGCCAGTATTTAACACTCTGAGCAAGAGACGGGGTTTTGCTAAAAATAATAAGGTCAATAAGTTAAAGTCACAATATAAAGTAGGAAATGTTTCAGCAAACTTAAGCACTTAAAAACTAAGGATAAGGAAAAACTTAAGTAAAAGAAACTTTAGGTAATTAAATTTGTAAAAAATAACCTTTCCAATGACTTAAAAATTACGTACAGATTGACCATGAAACAACAAATTTGAAATAATTTTAGACCAAAGAACAGTGGGTCACAAATTAGGCCATAAACAAACTAACACATATCATTATGAACATTATAAACAAAAACTTATTAAGCACTATTGCCTAGTCTTAGTCCTTTGTAAGTGACCAAACATTTCCAATTACAAGTTAGGAGGAAAAGTATCTAAAAACTACACTATCATATTTTTGAACATTTTAAAAACAATTGTTAGCTCAAATTTACGTTTCGCTCAACTCACCCCTTAAACAATGTGTTCCTATATTCAGCTACCGAAGCTCGAGCATGGGCCAAAAGCATCCTGGAGACAGGATTAGCTTTCGCCTCCGCAACCACCAGTTGCTCCTGGATCTTCTCGAAGACTCGTGGAACTCCAAACATCGTTGTTGGCCTCGTCCTTCGGAAGGTTTTGATCAAGGTTCCCTTGAGAGCGTTTTTATCAGCGAATGTCACGCATCCGGCGGAAATTAGACCGGAAAACAAATCAAGAATCTGAGCAGCCACATGGCTTAGAGGTAAATAGCACACAAAACGCTCCGAACCGACGTTAAAGTTGCCCAGGAAAGCTGTTGTGGATTTTATTTCGTAGATAAGGTTGTCGTGACTGAGCATCACAGCCTTGGGAAGACCCACAGTGCCCGAAGTGAATATCAGCATGGCGCATTCATTGGGATAAACTCGACTCTCCCGGTCCTTCAGCTCCTCCTTGAGATCGTTGGAATAGTTTCTCTCCTGCAACTTCTGCCAACTGAAGTAGCCGGGTTCCTGATCCACAAAGTTCTCGAAAGGTCCGTGCAACTGGATCACAGCCTTCAGACGTGGATGGCGGTCCTTGATCGCTCTCAACTTGGCCATTTGTTGGGCATCATCCACGATACACACGGTGGAGTCAGCAGTGGCCAGAACATGATAAACGGCCTCTGCGGAGTTGCTAGGATAGATTCCTGCCACAACTGCACCAGCTCTCAAGGCTGCGAACTCGGCAAAGAACCACTCTGGACAATTAAAGGCCAGGATGCCCACGGAACTCCGCTCCTCGAGGCCAACACTTAGGAGCATCAGAGCTGCCTGCTCCACTCGCTCCTGATACTCGCGGTATGTCAAAGTGGTCCAGCCATCGACTCCGGCTCCTGGGGTTTCCCACACCAATGCAGGCAGACCCGGATGTTTTTCACACACTTCCGCGAAGAGTTGAGGAATGGTTTGCGGGACGATTCCCTGCGAGAAGGATCCTTGCTCATCCAGGCGCAATTTGACGGCCTCGTGAAGAGAGGTGCTGGTGTAGCGCGTGGCTGGCTTGAGCTCGTTCATTCTGAAGGCGATCGCGACGAATAAACCCGGCAAGGTCCAAAACAGAAGTACTTATTCGAAACTCCTATAACTATAGTTTTATAAGGTGAACGAGATCGAGGAGCTTTATTGTATAATAACTCTCGTTTTTATCTTCAAGTTTAATATACATTTTCAGAGTTAGTCTGCGCAAATGAATTTCAAATATAAAAACCATTAACTTCTTACCGGGTATTATCACGGAAAAGTATTCTCACCTGTAATTTTTAAATATAATTTCTTTCCTATAGGGCTTACATACATATACTTTATCAATGTCAAGAGCATAGTAGCCTGTCTTTTAGTCTTTCTGAAATTTGTGTCTCAGTTTCGAGCTGTTTGAATAAATCTTTACAGATAGCCAGCCAGAGATATTATGTAAATGCAATAGAAACGATCGAAGAATTTTTCGAGATATGACCAATTTTGTTTAGTTGCTTCCTTTCATGGTATACTTTCTGTTGTTTTTCAACTGCAAACTCGAAGAGTATACAATCTTCGGCGTCCCAACTTTTAATTTTTTCCTATAATACCCAATTTTAAGGCAAGGTGGCAAAGGTTGGGAACCCTTGTTTAGAAACAATTAAAAATTAGACAACGTGCACTTTTAGTTTTTATGCTACTGTTTTAATAGGCTGTCCAATGTGCCAATGTTTTGCAGTCGCTGTCTGAGAATCAAATCGAGTAGTTATTCTATCGGATAGTATTTGAACTCTGGCTTTATTCTTTCATTTCTTCGGGATCGTGATTGAAAAAAACTTCAACTTCAACTCTTTAACCTAAATCTAAATTAATTGTAGTTTAACAATTTTGTAACTAATGCTAAGATAAATTTATTATAAACATTACAAATTTAAAATGATTTTAGGTGATCAGCGTGTTAGCGATACAAAAAGTCAGAGTTATATAACGTACGTCTCAAAATGTGATTTGCGATGTGATAATTTAAAACTTTTTAAATAAATTAGGCCCAGAGTTTCAGTTTAAACCCTCGAAGGACCGACTGCCAAAGTGTCTGAAAAAATTCCGTTTTAAAAAGAGAATCAAAGAATTCACTTTTAATAAAGCAAATTGATTTCCTACCTTCCTAAAAAATTTTCTGAAAATATTATTCACTCCTACTAAAAGTTCTTATTGCACCCTCAAGTTAATATATTAATGAGATATATTTAATAGAATTCCCCAACTAAATAATTATAAACCATGTATGATTTTATACAAAATATATTAGAGTCACAATTTCTTAAAATTCTAATGTTGATTACAAGGTAAGTCTAATCAAGTCGAAGGTTTGAGAACTATCGGTGTAAGCTGGGTATTTCATCGATGATTTACCTGTAAAGCCGATCTATGACTTTGGCATATTTGGTATGAACAATATTCCTCCTGATTTTGAGCGTGGGACCCAATTCTCCGGTGGCCAGGGAGAATTCGTGGGGAATCAGGGCGAACTTCTGCACTCGTTGTGCATTGGAGATGGCATGTTTGTTAGCTCTCTTAATACCTTCCTCGAGAGCTTCTAGGAGTTTGGGTTCGGCGGTTATGTCCAAGGCAGCCGACACAACTGCAGAATCGTTGGTGAGTTGTAAGTCAGCCGGAATATTGAGAAGACTGGAGAGACGGGTCTCGTGAATGTCCAGATCTCGAAGCCACTCTACCGTTTCTTCACGCAGTGCATCCAGAGGAGTTCCCGTCTTGGCATCAGACTTTGTCTTCAAGGATAACAACACTGTCAGATACTTGCGATGGTCACCGATCAGAAGGACATTGCTCACGCAGGGCAGCTCCTTCTTTATCAACTCCTCGATATGCACCGGAGGAATGTTCTCCCCGCCGGCGGTGATGATGAGTTCCTTGAGTCGACCAGAGATAACGAGATTTCCTTTGGGATCCATGTACCCCAAGTCACCAGAATGCAACCAACCATCCTCCTTGATTGCTTCTTCGGTCTTCTCCTGCAGTCCCAGGTAACCCATGAATATGCTACGGCCCCGCATCAAAATCTCCCCTTGGCCATTGCTATCCGGTTCATGGATCTTCAAAGTCAGTCCCTCGATCGAGGTGCCCGAGCTGTACAAGTTGGTGATATTGACGTTCAGAGTGATTGCACCGCCGCTCTCCGACATTCCATAGCACTCGCCCAGAGCAATGTCCAGGCCCAGGAAGAACTGCTTCATCTCGTCTGAGGTGGGAGCTCCCCCAGTCAAGAAAATACGGCAATTGTCCAGACCAATCATCTCGCGAATGGGCTTTATAATACGAGAGGCCAACCAATATTTTGTGCTTCCGTAAATCGAAGGTTTTTTGCTGAAAATGAAAATAAAATATATTAGTTAGTTTTTCTTTAATTTTCTATTTCATATCAAATCTATCGATATTACCTAAAAGGGAAATATCTTAAAAATGTAAATGTTTAAATCAAAATTATATAGTCTTGGTCAAATAAAAATAATAATTTCATAAGTAAAAGGGCTCTTGAAACTATTATAACAAAAGAACTCTAAAGGTTCTATAAATCACGTACGAATTAATTCACGTTCTTGAAGTGGCTTCAAGTTTAAATGTAAAGAAAGACTTGTTTCTAATGTTTGATACTCAAATTCTATCTTAGTAAGTTTTAGTTTTTGGATTTTTCAGTGATGATACTGATTTTTAAATTTCGTCCTGGGTAAAAGTGTTAAACTTTTAATCGTAGGTACAGTAATTCCCAACTGTGATTTATAGTTCTAACTTTAAAAATCACAGCTAAATAATCGTGTAATCTTGTTTCTCATTTCACTTTTTTGGGTTCTATCAACTTACCCCTCAATTAATGTGGTCTGCTGTTCCGCCACCGCAGCCCGAGCCTGGGCCAAGAGCAGTCTGGAGAATGGCTTTGCCTTAGCCTCCGCGGCCACCAGTCGCTCCTGCAACTTCTCGAAGACTCGTGGCACTCCGAACATCTTCGTTGGTCTCGCCTTACGAAAGGTCTTTATCAAGGTGCCCTTAAGGGCGTCCTTATCTGCAAATGTCACGCATCCGGCATGGGATAGTCCCAAAAAAATATCAAAGATCTGGGCTGCTACATGGCTCAACGGCAGATAGCTGACAAAACTCTCTTTTCCGAGTTGAACATCCTTTAGACAAGCCGCTGCGGACTTGGTGTCAAAGATAATGTTGTCATGGGTAAGCATCACAGCCTTGGGCAGACCCACTGTGCCCGAAGTGAATATGAGCATGGCACACTCGTTGGCATAGACTCGACTCTCGCGGTCCTTCAGCTCCTCCTTGAGATCGTTGGAATAGTTTCTCTCCTGCAACTTCTGCCAACTGAAGTAGCCGGGCTCCTGATCCACAAAGTTCTCGAAAGGTCCGTGCAGCTGGATCACAGCCTTCAGACGAGGAAGGCGCTCCTTGATCGCTCTCAGCTTGGCCATCTGCTGGGCATCATCCACGATACACACGGTGGACTCTCCGGTGGCCAGGACGTGATAAACGGCCTCTGCCGAGTTGCTAGGATAGATTCCTGCCACAACTGCACCAGCTCTCAAGGCTGCGAACTCGGCAAAGAACCACTCTGGACAATTGAAGGCCAGGATGCCCACGGAACTCCGCTCCTCGAGGCCAACACTTAGGAGCATCAGAGCTGCCTGCTCCACTCGCTCCTGATACTCGCGGTATGTCAAAGCGGTCCATCCATCGACTCCGGCTCCTGGGGTTTCCCACACCAAGGCAGGAAGGTCAGGATGCTTTTCACACACTTCCGCGAAGAATTGCGGAATGGTCTGTGGAACGATGCCCTGCGAGAAGGATCCTGGCTCGTCCAGGCGCAATTTGACGGCCTCGTGAAGAGAGGTGCTGGTGTAGCGCGTGGCTGGCTTGAGCTCGTTCATTCTGAAGGCGATCGCGACGAATAAACCCGGCAAGGTCCGGAGCACGGGTATTTATGCCATCGCCACCAGACGCTGATAAGACCAAAATGGGAATATGTAGCAGGCTGGGATGTTGAGTCTGATGCATGATACGCACTGTGGCACAGCCACGTCTCTAGTCACACAAATCTAAGGAACCTTTGGACCTAGACCAGGGGAATCTGTAGTATGCTCGGAAGTATTCGATGGAATTAGGTAGACGGGAGGTGTATATATATATACAGATCTTTTTAATACATATTTAAATTACTTTATCCAATGTAAGCAGCATGACAAAGATCAAACCGAATGACTAAGCACTTTATATATGTGAAAATGGGGTTTTATACCTTTCATAAAATTAAAATTGTAATTCTGAAAACATTAAAAATTGTGAGACGTAGAAGTATGGTAAAAAACACGAAAGGCTTGAATAATAATAATATAATAATACTGATTTCTTAGACAATGATTTACATTATATAATAAATTATAAATATTTAAGCCTATTTTATAAGAAATATTCTTTTTGAGACATAAGTGCCGTTAAAAAATATAAAATCCACAGTGCCTGGATCTTTGACAATTAATCGCAGGTCGGACCCCGATTAGTCAAGACTTCTTGTTTGTCGTTAGGAATACATTTGCTGATCTTTACGCACGTGCGGCTATGTTCATCGGTGTTTTTTCGGGCTTTGACTGATAATATTTCATAATCATAAGTTAGGCCATGCCTCTTCCCTCTCAATTCTCCCTGCTAGGGAGCCCCTGAGACGGATGCCTTTAAAGATAATCCAAGGGTCGTGAACTCACAAATTTTGTGGCGGTCGTTGTGCGATAGTAACAGGATTCCGAATGCTAAAACATTTAAATAAAAGTGATATTTATTTCATGGGATCAATGATCAGTGGTACCACGAGATTATATATTATAGTATGGAAATTAATTAATTGAGTCTTTTTGGGAATTCTGTGTCACCGAAGCAATAAAATACTATATAAAAATAATATACTATAATAAATAGTTTTGTTTAGGCTAAATAAAAGTTATCTGTCTCCGACTACAATTAATCTGACCTACATATATTCGTACTATTTAAGTAAGATAATTGAAACTGTAATTATACATACGGTAGCCCACAGCTTATTGCAACGATACCCAAAATAAAACTTTAAAAGAAGAATTCAATGGATACTCCCAAAAATGTCTGTTTAATATTAGTATTTATTTCTTTAATCTATTTTTCATGTGTATTAGTTATTTTTCTTCCCATAAAATAAGTAAAGTAAAAAGAAACTCAACCTTTACTTACTAAAAAATATTTCAAAAGAAGATATATATTATTGAAGTGAATAAATGAAATTTAATTAAACAGTAATTAAGTTATAATTTTCGGAGTACTTTAAACAATTTTCTTTAAGCGTTGTATTTATTTAAGATGGGTATTTTCTATTAAGCTTAAGGAAAAGACTGAATTAGATGCATTTAATTTAAAATAAATGATTCATTTAATTTAAAATAAATTAATCTATTGGTCAAATATTTAAAACTAAAACGAACGAGATAAATTAGTTGCTCTATAATTCATTAGCTTCTATAAATATTCTTTTTATATAAGGCAATAGATTTTATCTTAACTTCAAACCTTTGAAATGTCTTAATTTGGTTTTTTTTTTCAATGTACTTATGATTTTAATTTTAATTTGCTCTAGACATCATATAATTATTATGAATTGCAAATTTAATTTACAACTGTCTCATTATAGACAAAGTCTAGTAATGTGATCGAGTCCAGGTAGAGCAAGTGACTCCCAGGTCCATCCATATGTATGATGAATATTTGGGAATTTTTAACGGACTAAATGAACCCATTCCAGGTACTTTGGAAGGTGGAATTTTTGCGGGGGTTTCACAGGGTGTCCCCGGTGAAATTTCCCCTGAACCCGTGCTGCCATTTGGTCACTCGGGCACTTAGACGAGTGCCATAACACACGCACACCCATACACGGGGGTACACACGCACTTCGTCACGTAAAGAGAGAGAGAAAAAAAACTTTCTCGCAGCAGGCCAGCTGACAGCAAAACAACAACAAGAACAATTGTCGCTGTCGCTGTCTCCGTCACAGTCGCAGTCACCGCTGAAGTCGACGTCTACGCTGCTGCTGGTGCTGTTGTTGGTTTTCCACTGTGCTGGGATTTCTGGGCGCCTGTTCGAGCAACAGTCATTTTTTGTACAAATTTATAATTTATTGTTTAATTTATTTTATTGCTAAATGTCGGAAGCACCTCGCAGCGAATGTGGCCAGCATTTGCGCTGCGTGGAGCGATTTACATACACTGAACGCCACATGTGGTGACTGGGCAAGGGATATATTATTAACCCAATTGCAATTGTTGCAATTCAAAGCTTATCTGCCGTTATGCTGGCAAGAACAACATTATTATGAAATTATTTACCAATGAACAGCAGCTCATGAATGCCAACAAGTGTGGCCATTGTCTGCGAAGGCAAGGGGCGGTGTGGCCAGGGGTGTTATTGCATCAAAACTACAACACAAATAGTTGCAATATTCTGTTTTCCCTGTTTGTTTCTTTTTCCTCTACTCGCAACTATATAAATTTATATGTATTTTCGAGTGTGAGGGGGTATGTGCTATGACGGTACATGGGATTTGTATCGGCTAGTGCAAGAAAATATAAAAATCGGAATATATATGCGGGCAGGGGCTCAGGGGGGGGCTTGCCCGAGCAGATGTAATCGCATGTACGGGACCGGGACCGGGCCCGGGACCGGGGCCTGGGGCAACCACAATGCGGCATAAGGCAGTCGTCAGGCGGCAGGGGGAAAGCTCACCTCAAATGCGACCTAGCAATAAAGCTAACAATCAAATAAAACAGGGTGGTGCAGAAAAAGAAGTCCTCCTATTAGTATATCGAATAAATAAAATGTTAAATTGAACTCTTTTTTTAGAGGAATTTAGACCTCTTTGTCTATAGTTTGTACGGCATTGTAATTGATTTAACTTGTATGCCCATTCAACGAATTACATTGCTAAAAACAAGTTTTTATAATCGTTAAAGAATAAGATATAATGGCTGTAATCGGGGCTGACATTCAGTATACCCTACAAAGATACATAGGAGAGTCCATCTGACATGAGCAACTGATGTAAAGTAGTAAAGTGGGATATTGAATTAAATAATACTTGGTATAACTAAGCATGATGAGCATTTAATAACAGTTTGAATACTGCAACGGGACAAGATTTGTTAAATATTCATAGTTAATACTATATACATAAGGTTCTATGATTTATTTCTTGTTTTCTATTTACACACATGGCATTTTTTAACATTGCGATTTTGTACAGCAATAAAAATTAATACCATATAATATATCAACAATATAGTTTTATAATAATATTACAAATTTAGAATTAAAGAAACTTATAACGAGCATTAATATTACAATGGGCAACGTTCTTATAACAGCTCACAGATACATATTATATATTGCTTCGATTTTGATGAAGTCTTAAGACTATAAATATTGAAAAGCTGAAAGCATACAGCTTCCCCATCAATTAATACTATTATTAATTTATTTATTATTATTATATATTTAGTTGTTATTCTTATATATTTCTTAATATTATTTGTATATATTTTATAAATGTTTTTATATATTTAAATTGATCATTATCATATTTATTATTCGAGATGTTTTTGTCTCTGTACAGCTTACTTAAGCTAAATCCAAGAGGTTCACTCGATAGCAATTCCCATTATTGCTTGGCAATGACAATCGATCCGCAGTCCGATATGCCGCGACTGAAGCGTGATATGCTGACATGCTGCTGACCCTTATCCATATGTGCATATACTCATCCAACCATTCATCCATTCATCCATCTATCGGCCCTGCATGTGTAACGATGTGTTTAGTACATATTTACACGCACATCGAGTGACCTAATGTGCGGGCTGTGTGTACTATGGGCTATTGACTGGGGGATGGGGTAGGGGGCTGAGGACTTGGGGTGGCCGGCCGCATGTCTGCGACTTTTGTAGATTTGTTTGTGTACATATAGATATAGCGAAAACACCCGGCGCACAGCATTGATTAGCAGGCGTGAAAGAGGCGAAGCCGAAGCCAGAGCCAAAGCAAAGCAAAAGCAAAAAGTTCATGCGAGCAGAGCAGCCAGCAGCGAAAGCAACAATAACAACTAGCGGCAAACAAACAAGTACACACAACAATAAGGAAACACACTCGGGCATATGTACGTACATAGATACGTACAAGAGCGAAACCCACACACAAGTACAAAAGAAACTACTAGAAAGAGGCGGTGGGTGAGGCGGTTGGGTGGAGATAAACAGCATTTATATTCATGTACCAACAACACATCGCAGACATAAAAAGCGAAACGAAAATCAAATAACATGTGTACATATTGACAAACAAGCGAGCGGACCGAGCGACAACCGTACATATGTACATACCATACGAACCAGTACGAACCGTGCATATGTACGTACATTAGGGCGATGTACGGTTGAATGTACGTACATACGTAAGTATGCAGTACCCCTCTATCCCAACCTGCTCCCCACCAACGTCTTGCAAGTCATTCAAACTCATTTCTACACAAACATATCAGTCGTGTTCGAAAGGGGGGGGGGGGGGGGGGGTATCCAAGTCCCAAGCCTCCCCCTCTCTTTCTTGACCGCCTCTCTGACCAGTTGGTCACACTTGCACATACATACACAAATAGTAATAGTAACCGGTATTTAAAACAAAAGTTAGTTAAGAACCAAGCCACAACAACTTGACTCTATAGAAACTAACGTTTTGCAGTTATGCGATATTTCATGTATTCATCTCTATCGCATACTAGAATTTCCCGTATTCAAAAATATATGAAACCTAGTCAGAGAGTCTTCCAGTGTATTCATTTTCATTTCAACCACGCACAGTGGAACCCATTGACCATAATGCCCGTACAATTTATTTATCTCTAGTCCCTTTATCGAACTCAAGAAGATAGCTAGGACTGAAGTCACTTAAATCTTAAAAGAAAAGTATACCGAATGCCCTATTTTCGCTTCTGTCGTCAGAGCAGAGCCACGAGTTCATTTTAAGTACATTCTGCCTGATAAGCTCATCGGGGCTAATCAGCTCGACCGGGTCGGTTATTGCATCTGAGCAGCCCCCATAATAGACTAATCATCATCACTGTCACTATCATCGGAGATAGCAGTGGATGCACCGATTTGGAGTCACACCCTCCCTCCCTTTCACACAATCTGTCTATCTCTATTTTCAAGGCGTTGTTCTCGATGATGCTTCGATTTTCTGTCGTCATTGTTGATCAGTGGAAAATTCTGAAGTCGGATTACTCAGTATGGATGGCGATAGACCACGAAATGTGCTTGGTCATTGCAAGTGACCAATGACTGCTACAATTTCCCCAAATGGAGTGGAACCTCCGATTGCTATTAAAATACGAAAAGCTTAATAAAATTGAGAAATTCCAGAAAAAGTGTCAATTTGGCAATTTAAGTCGAGAAACAATTTTAATTGAAATGTGGAAATAGATCATGTCAAATTCATGGAAAGAAATTGCTTAAGTTGTAAAGAATTATTACTACAAAGCATAATATTAATTATATTTAATAATCTCAGTTTTAATGCAAATGCCCGAAGAATGCTCACTGTGTATATATGATTTTGTCTTATCAAAAGAATATAAGGAGATTTAATGGTTTGTTGTTTCAAAAATCAAGTTTTAATAAATATTTAAAAATAAAATAAAGTAATTTAAAATATATACATACCTTCAGATCATAAGCCGGTGTACCAATTGTAAATCTTGAGAATGTATATATATTTATGTATTTTCCGAATTAAGCCAGAAATTACGGGTGAGAGGTTATCTTGGTGACCTATTAAGAAATAGGTATTGTAAAGGACTTTGTTATCTTTTGTTTAATACAAAAAAACAAGGTATATATTAAAATTTTTAGGAAAACAAACACTTTTCAAAAAAGTTTATCGACCTCTTATTTTGTATTGTTTGGTTCGTCGGAAGGATGTCGTGTACAGAAATTTTCGAGTCTGTATTATTAAATAGGTACTAATTTAAGGAGGTTAATCGTATTAGAACCAGCCAGCAAAATACTGTGTATATAGTGGAGTATTGCACCACTAACTACATATATAAATTAACATAAATATAACATAATTTTTAAGATTTGCTGAAGAAATTCTGAACTTCTTTCAAGTATTTATTTCGTCAAAAAAGTTTCCGAGTTATGTGTCCTTTATTTCCGACAACGTCTGTGCCCGACATGTCCCGCATTTCTGGCAGCGTCTGTGTCCGATTAACTAACAGCCGCTGCCGCCGATAATCACAACAAATTGAGTTGCTGCTGCTCCGTCGTGGCTCGGCAGCGACGTCAACGCTGGCTGCGATGCTCACTGGGAAGGCTGGCGTGCCGTCGAGCAATTTCCATGGGTGCTGCTACGTCATCGCTGTCAGCATGCAACAACAAAAAAGCTGATTGGGGATGTGAACAGGTCGCACTGCTTATATATGGTTACATATGTACATATGTATGCTACATACACAAACAAGTGGTCATACACGAAGAGAAAACAAATGCGAATTTGAAAGCTTTTAACTAATTATTAATATCTCCAATACAGATAACAAATACCTTAAGATTAGTTTAGCTTAACATAGTTATTCTTGTTATAATTATCGAGGTGTACTTATTTTTTTTACCATATAAATTAATATATTTTTGTAATATCTTTCTAATACCTTTTATGCCTGCTATTGGGGTTAGTCCAGGTTTCTCTGTCTGCAGCTGCTCTGCATATTTGAATACCCTACCTCGCCCCTCGACACCACCTATTACATTTCAGTTTCATTTCATTTCTGGTTTCGGCTTTCGCGCTGCCTGCCCTGCTGTTGCTCATTACACACACTCGCACGCGCTTTAGATAGACGGACGGGTATGTAAACATGTGTACATTACATACCTACGAATTTGCGAGAACGTCGCCCGTTACCGTTTTAGCTTTCATGGGGTAACATTAACCGCCCCCCGCTCACCACACACGGCACAGACCCGTCTACACAATACTCTCGCAGCAAAAACAACACAACATCGGAGCATTGCACACACACCACACACAGAGCACACACGCTCCTCTGCTGGTCTTTCGGCCTGCTAATCATTTCTGCTCGCCTGCTGGCTGCTTATGTTTATTTGTATATATCGAGCAACACAGGCGCACGAAGCTCATATGCAAAACCCACCAGGCACATACAACGCTACCATTGAGGCTAAAACATCCGTACAACAGTATTCCGTACTCCCGTGCTCCCGTACTCCCGCACTCCCGCCGGAGAGCAAAGCATCCGCATCCGTCAGAGCTTGGATATAGCACGTGTCTGCTGGGGTCGAGTGATACTATGCTGGCGTCCACTTGGAAAAATTACGTATACGTATACATATATTTGAGACTAACATGAGGTACATAACCATAACTATTATTTTACATATCTGACTATGTCTTCATGTCAAGTAATAAGACAATAAGTAATTACAAATATATATATTATTATTATATAAGAATATAGATAAATATAAATAAAAATATATTTTAAAGGTAATGGGAAAAGAATTGCTGAGAAAATTATAGTGGTTGTCCAATTCCGATGCTTTAAAATGATTAATTAGGTTCGGCTCTAGTTAGTAATTAAATTTTTAAAGTACTTTTTATAGTAAAATTATTATTAAACTTGTTATTATAGTACGTAAAATACACCCATATTTGCAAGTTCTCATTGTATTACAATATTTACTTCTATATCTGTATATAGTAATAGATTATTATTGTAGTACGTTCAAATAGAATAGAATTCTTTTTATGATTATTACCTTAAATATAACTTAAATTTATTAAAAACTAAATAGTTTTTAGTAAATATATGCTCTGGTCTAAGAATATGCAATTAATTTCACATTAAACATTTTTTATCTGCTTTGTAAAGCATGCTTTTAGGCAGCTTGGGAAATTGAATCAAACTAAAAAATTAATTTCTTGTTAGTACAATTGAAATTACTTAATTTCCTTTAATGACCTTTACATATTCTTTTCAAGAACAAATTATAAGGCCACAATTAAATTAAAACACTTAAAATAAAAACCTAAGTATTTAAAGTCTTCAACAGTTGCTCTTCGAACATGTTGCAAGCGATCTAGTGATTCCGGCCGACACTGTAAGGCTGCAACCTAAATACGATACGACAATCCCTCTTTGCTCCAAACTTGTTCGAACCGCACTCGATGCTCTCCAAAAGTTCGTCTCGGTACATTTCCAATGCTGTTGATAAGAACAGCAGCCGATGCAAAATAAAAAATAATAATAACAGTCCGACAGACTCACTTATCGGACGATTGAAGCTGCAAACGCTCCCAAGCGTATGTAAGATAATATGCACTGAAAGAAAATGAAGTTTATTGTAAAAATGTCATAGAAACTATTATCGGATTTAAAAGCCGAAATCTTAATCTAGAAATGAGCTTAATTTGCTGTATTTGAACTTTTAAGAGCATATTGTTATTTTTAAGAGTATGAAGATGTTTTTCAAATATTTTGGTTATATCTTTTTTTGTAGAATACAAGTAAAGTAAGTTTTTTTTGTACAATCTGTTTCAAATTACTCCTCAAAAGGACATCAGTAAAATCAGCTACCATTTTAACTTGATTTGTCGCTGAATTCCGACTTGGGAATTACTAGTGCACTCTATGCAACAACTTTATTTACAATTTATGTTAAAAATCGTATTGAGCATGCAAGAAATGAAGACTGAGCAGGACATTTGCCAAGCTAAAGCAATTCCCAAGTGCATTTGCACTTGAATTACAACTTCGATTTTGTTCTGAGTGAAGAGTAAACAAAAGAAGCTGATCGGCTTTCACTTTAATCTGTGGCTGCGTCTGCGTTTAGTGCACTCGCGGCGACTTAAACACGATATCCAGCTCAGCGTGCATCAAAGAACATTAAAGATGCTGCTCCAAGTGGTGCCACCGGCTGCGGGACTCGTCCTCATCTTGGCGGCGGCGGCAGTGCCACAACAGGTGAGCGGCCTGGCCATCACCACGGGACACTGCCAGAAGAACATCAGTGTGAAGTACCAGGTGCCGGTGACCAGATCTCCAGGCACCTCGGGCAACTCCAGCTACATGGCCTTTGAGGAGCTCGTGCGCTGGGACAACATCCAGGTGTGCTGCCCCGGCTACCGCACCATTCTCTTTGGCTTCTGTGAGCCCGTCTGCCAGGAGCCGTGTCCGGCGCACAGCTTCTGCGCGGAGCCCGACCGCTGTCACTGCCAGCGCGGCTACGAGGCCTCGCACCTGCACAGCAACAGCCATCGACTCACCTGCCGGCCGATCTGCCAGGGAGGCTGCCCGGAGCACAGCCTCTGCGTGGCCCACAACGAGTGCGAGTGCCGGCCCGGTTTCAAGGACGCCAGCAGCTGGTTCAGCCTTGGATTGCGCTGCGAGCGGGTGCAGTGCGGCCACGAGCAGCGCTTTGATCCCGGGCGTCGCGCGTGCGTCCAGATCGAGATGAGCATGGAGGAGCTGATGCAGCGCGTTGCCGAGCGTCTGGCCAAGGGCCTCAAGCCGGAAGCGGAAGCGACACCCGAGGCGGAAACCGATAAGGCGACAGATTAGGCAGCTTCCAATCCAATCTGAATCATCACCATTGTATTCGAACTCTCAAATAAAGCAAGGTTATTATTTACACTAATTATAATAATTGATATGTTTTCATATTTAAATTCTATTCACTCTTTTGTCAGAGATATTTGTTTTCTTTTAAAGAATCAAAAGCATTCTCTCCTCTTTAATGATCACAACAATCGATAAAAGTCTATATGTTTCAGTTTATTGTTACTCTTCAGACAATAAAAAATGTTCTCTTGTTTCAGTTGGTACAACCAATTAGTATTTACGAATTACGGCTTAGGTACTACTTTCGACAGATCTCTGGATCTGATCGGGGCAAGTTAAGGTCTAAATGGGCATATGGGCACAATTGTCCTAAGATGCGGGGCCTTGGTTCTAAATATAATATCCAACAGTTAACATCCGCCTATAACCTATATAAAGGGCCACTCAATTGGCTTGAAAGTCCGTTAAATTCAAAAAATTCACATTAAAGCTCAAGTTCCGCTTCCGGGTGTCTCTCTCTGCTGTCGAGGAGCACTCTAGGCATACAGCTTCTCGATCTCGTCGGCATACATCTTGGAAACCACGTTGCGTTTGACCTTCAGAGTAGGTCCCAGCTCGCCGGTGGGAATGGAGAAGTCGTGCGGCAGGATGGTGAACTTTTGCACCTTCTGGGCATTGGATATGGAGTGCTTGTTGGCGCGCTTGATGGCGTCCTCGATGGACTTAAACACCTTGGGGCAGGGTCCGGCGGCAAGGATCTCGGAGACGGTTTTGTGCTCCACTCCCAGTGACTTTACCCACACCGAGGATTCGTGACTGAGCTCATCGAGGGGTTCGCCAGTGTCCTTGTCCATTTCGGTCTGTCAAGAATACTTTGCTTTTAAATCTGATTCAAATATATTTATATATCTTTGACTCACCTTAATTGTAATCAGCACAGTGAGATACTTGCGCTGCTCACCCACCAGGAAGGCATTGGAGATGGCATCCAGCTCCTTCTTGATCATGTTCTCAATGTGAACGGGTGGAATATTCTCACCGCCGGCGGTAATGATGATCTCCTTGGAGCGCCCGGTCAGTGAGACGTACCCTTTGTCATCGACGAAACCCAGATCGCCGGAATGCAGCCAGCAGTCGTCGTCCAGCGACTCCTCGGTCTTCTCCTTGTTATCAATGTAGCCCATGAATACATGGCGTCCACGGATGCACAGCTCTCCATGACCGTTGCTATCCTTGTTGATGAACTTGGACTCGCAGCCGGGCAGGGTCTTGCCAATGGAATTGAGGGCCACCGAGTCGGGCAGGCAGATGGTGTGGCATCCGGCTGTCTCCGACATGCCAAAGGCATCCACTATCTTCAGGTCCAGGCTGAGGAAGTACTTCTTCGTCTCCGGCGACATGGGAGCAGCGGCACTGGCCAGGGTCAGCACCCGGTCGAAGCCCAGGGCCTGCTTCACCTTCGACATGATGAGGGACTTGGCTATCTTGTAGCGGAATCCCCCCGAACTCTTGCTGCAAAAAAGTTAAAGGCGAAAAGTTTAATTAGCTTTGTTGACTGATGAGTTTTGTTGAAGGTTGCTGTGGCTGCACCTCAATAAATATGGATGACTTTGGGCCAAAATGCACTATCAAAATCCTACAACTTTGTAGTGTTTATAAATTAATTAAGGTCCTTGAAATGCATGGCAGATTCATTACCTACTGTAAAGTCTGTAAACGTCTTAGATTACATTTTAAATTCAATTTAAAGAAAACTTTCTTCGGGTTTACTTAAAGTTTCCTGTTAAATTGTAACGAGTTTGATGAGTCTGATGGATTTGCCTGGGCTTCAATCACTGCTCAAGCGGTTTAACATGAAAAGTCCTTCTTGTTGCGCTCTGCCTTTAGCTCCTACTTGAGAAGACTTCTCGCCTGGCACGTCCTTAGTCCTGGTCCGTGGTTCTGCTCCGGCTGCCAGAGTCCTTCGTATTTGCTGGTAAATACCAGCAGGAGCTGCGAGAGCTGGCTGCCTGCATGTTTCACGTGACGTATGAGTAATGTTGTTGTCACTGATTTTCGCTTAAACCAGAGCAACGAAGCGCTGCAGGCCCTGCCTGGCTTGCATAATTTAGCGGGAACCGAAAACACGGCAGGCAAAATACACAGAGACAAAATTAAATATATTAACGAACCTATTAATTCATATTATAATGGATATTTGAGTTTGGGGCCTTGTAATTACCTAGTCTTAGAGTCTTTAAAAGATTACGCAAGCCAATTAACTGGACATACTTTGATAACACTGGTCTTAAGTACGTTCCTAACTTTCATTTTTAACCCAGACTATGAATACTTGTGGTATCTAATTTTTTCACCGTGTACGACTTAAAGCTTCCCAGGGAGCTAGTTTCCTGGCCCAAAGGCAGGCTGAGCCATGAAAAATGCAGGCCGGAGGAGAGTAGAAAACGGAGTTCTGTCATTGCAGCCACTTTAACCGTGCATCCCTTTTGCATAATGTATGCGCATATATATTGAGGTGGAGTTCAAGTATGTGAAGTTGGGCCCATCGGGGAATACTTACCCTTGACTCACCATGTAGTGCTTCAGCGTGATGCCCTTGGCCCAGCTGGCAAGCATCTTCTTCAGGCTTCCGCTGGAGCTGGCCACGGCTACCATGCGTTCCTGGAACTTCTCATAGACACGAGGAACGCCCATGAAGCGTGTGGGCCGAGCATCCTGCAGCGACTTGACCAGGGTTCCCTTCAAGGCATCCTTGTCGGCGAACCAAATGCAACCGGCCACATAGGCGCAGGTGTAAATGTCCACCGTTTGGGCGGCCACGTGAGACAGTGGCAGATAGGAGACAATCGACTCCGCCCCTGCCACCACCCGGTCCATGGCCTTGACAATGCCGCGCACATCGAAGGTTATATTGTCATGGGACAGCATCACGCCCTTGGGCATGCCCACTGTGCCGGAGGTGTACACCAGGCAGCAGCACTCATTGATGGCGATGTTCTCCAGGCGGGTCTTGAACTGGTCCTCCATGTCGCTCACATTCATGGACTCGATCTCCGACCACTGCAAATCGGGATGAGGTTAGAACTGGTATTGATTAACAATAAATATTGAACTCACCCGGTAGTAACCATCTTCCTTCTTGAGGTACGGAGCATATGGTTCCTGGATCTGAATGGCTGCCTTAAGCTTGGGCAGCTTATCCCTGATGGAGTGGATCTTGTCCATCTGCTTGGCATCATCCACGATCACAATCTGGGCGTGGGAGCTCTCCAGGACGTGGAAAACTGCATCCGCTGAGTTGGTGGTGTAAATGCCGGCGATAATTCCACGAGCATGGATGGCTCCCATGGCCGAGTAGAACCACTCGGCACAGTTGAAGGCCAGCACACCCACCGAGTGGTGTTCCTCCAGGCCCAGTTTGATGAAGGCCTTGGCCACCTGATGCACCTTCTCCTCGTACTGCCTGCGGTCGAGGGGAGGGAATGGGTTAGATATTAGATAACCGGTTTTGGCGATAAGTGACTTTGGCAAATTGGCCAGAGATTCGATTAGCGCTACTCACTTGTACGTGACCGTGGTGTAGCCATTTTTGCCGTTCTTGGTCCGCAGGGCGGGATAGTCGCCATAGTTGTTCACCGTCCGCTTGAGCAGGCCGGGCACCGAGATGGGTTCCTCGGCACCGATGCCCTCCTTGGCCAGGCGGATCTTGACTGCATCCTGACGATTGGTGGTGCGATAGACGTCCGAATGCCGAAGGCGGTTGGGTCCAGGACGGTTATAAAGCGCATCGGTAGAGGACATGTTGACGGTCTACAAAAAGGTAGTTGGATTAATTACAGTGACTAATTCATTATCTTAAATTATTTTATAGACTTATATCACTGAAATCCAGTTTAGGCAAATAGAATCATACGATCTGTGACTGAAGTACATGCGTGTATTTATTTTTACCACCGTTTAAGATAAGACCACATACACTTTAGTTGGTCTATGTCAAGGCTTCCTTCCCCAAAGTTCTTATCTGGCGCGAATCGGTCAACACCTGATTATTATGGAGTCTTTTTTGTCTTTTGTGTATCCAAAAACAACAAATCACGATGTGACAATTCTCAGAGCGATGGCTAACTTGGTTTGAACAATAATTCTGGTTAATTAGAATTTTGGAAAATTCCTGCTTTTATGGCACTAAAACTTATCATGTTCATGGCTCTCTTATCAAATCCGGTATATCAGAAGTCGACAGTGGTACGCTTTTTCAATGGGTTTTATTGCGCCGGTACAAAGGCCAAGAATCGTAAGTCTGATATCTACAATAATGTATGAATGTTTTACTTTGCAGTTTTCGGTGTTTCTTCGGTGTTTTTTATTAATCAATAAATTCTCTTGGTAACTAAGTATTGATAAGACCCAAAATAAACAGGAAAACTAAGAATGGAAGACCCAAACAGCTGACATAACACTCGGTCCGAGTCCAAAGGGTCAGCAAATAAATTATCATTTATTACTGGAAGCAAGTTGTAACTATTAGCCGTATTTTGCAGGGGTTTAAGCGTGTTTTTTTGTTTTCAAAGATTGATTGGCATAGACAGCATAAATGATTGACGGATGATTGGCGCTGTAGGTTCAATTGATTCATAGGTAAAGAAACCCCGAGGGCAAGGCATTATCAACTTAATGGAAATGCGTCTCTGGTATTTTTGGGTCCGATAGGGAAGGCGTACTTGAGACATTAACATAGTTTGTTTCAGAAATCATAATTTATGGCGCTCAGCTGATAATGTTTAAAAGTGCTCACCAAGGCACGCAATCGAGGCATGATAATATATGAGTAATATTTAGCTAAATATTAATTATGTAATAAAGTAATTTAGACAAGAGATAGTTAGTCATTATAATGTATAAATATTATCATAAGGAAGATTATAACTCTTCTCAGTTTCTTTAGATCTACAAAACTCAATTATACCTCTCACAAATCATAAGTTCTTGGGTTATGGAAC